CAAAAAAAAAAAAGCAGTTCAGATGTCCTGGTCTTCTCCAGGGACCCTAACCTACACTGATTTCCAGTTAATCTGATCAGCTAATCTGCATTACTGTCTAGAGCCAAAGGGATAGGTAGGTGAGAAGCATTTATCTACTAAGAGATGCACTTTGGGACCAAACTGGGTGAACTGAGGAGACATGATTTCTTGAGGGTCAGCAGGGCTCAGGACATTTAGTCTTGCAAGACCTCATTCTCTAACCCCGCCTGGGAAGTTTAATGGTACAGTCTCCGCCTACCCAAAATGTTCTGTCAACAATAATCAGGGAGACACGGGAGGTTTCAGGCATTGTTTCTCTGTATCTTGAGACAAGAGTTTGCTCTAACTCACTAAATTCAGTCAATAACTCTTCATAAATAATTTATTGTCATTAGGAACCTAAGTGCTGGAGATGAAAGACCTAACTGGCCTACAGGGCAGTAAAATTCTCAGACTAGAGCATTTTAGAAAGTTATGTTCTTTTCTTAGCATTTTAAATTAGAAAAAACATTCCATTGTAAAGAGGTAAATGACAGGACAAACCCACAGGAGGACTCAGGGAGTTTGGGGCCCTCATTTTTCATGACTGGAGTGTCATAAGCAGAGGATGGAGTGGGAGGAGTCACTGCAAGAGACAATGCTCTTCCCACCGCTGCATTTAGAAGGCTCACTGGCTGCTCTTTCTGAAGAAATACCGAAATGGGAAGAGAGAGCTGCAGGAAGGAGAGCAGAGCAGGTTGAGACTCTTGAGGTCCACTTCCCTTCTCCCAGGTCCCATAGGGCTCCATTAGCTAGGGCATTCTGCTCTGAGGGACCACTGAATGGAAATTCAAGACTGAAACAGCATTTGAAAAGGCACCCAAGTTAGATTATACTCAGGAGGTAGAAAAGAAGAAGGAGAACCGCAAAGGGATGACTGAGCTCTAGACAGATAAAGGGATTTGCTAACTGTACTCAGCAAAAAGGACTCGGAAGACAGAGGCTAGATTTAGAGGGAAGAATGGAAAAATTCTGGTAACCAAATCATCTGAATAGCCAAAGCACAATAAGGATAGTCTCTGTCCAAGCAGCCTTATGGAATCAGGCCCAATGCTGGGCACATTGGGTAGGGTAGGCTGTATAAAAATGGACAAGACACAGTCTTTGTTAAATTCATGGTTAGGGCCCTTAGTCTCAATCTCATTTCTTTCATCCATCCTGGACAAAATAGAGATTATGCAGGTAATCTCCTTTTTCTATTCTAATTTTCTTGAGAGAGTCAATGAAGATTTTGGAGCTACACTGCCCTGGATCTCAGTTTGATGGCAGGAGAGCAGTCTGTCCTACCTTAGAAACCCAAAGAAGCCAGTGGTTCCCAGCTCTGTGGGTCCTTCAGGTGGAGGTGGATTGTTTTGCTTCAATGGTGGGATAATCTTCCCTGCTGGGCTATCCTCCCACTTAGAATCTGCAAGGAAAACACTCAGGCAGGGAAAAGGTGTTAGTCCATGGGCTACCTTCATGTGAGCCGAAGGCAGGACACTGAATGTGAGCCAAGGACAGCCTCACACCAGGACTGTTTGAAGCCAGGTGAATTGTTTATTCTGATCTTCCCAATTTCATCTCAGCTCAGTAAGATGCTATTCTGACCTTGGAGTATTTTTTAGGTTAAGCCCCCGAGATTTTTACACTGCTCAAATCCCAGTTACCCACCACAGCTGGTGTGTCTTCTATGGAATGAAAATTTGTTAAAGAATTTACTTGCTTACATGCCTTTGTTTATGATAACTGCAGTACATACTGAATCCTTATGCTGAGTGAAAGATCAGCAAGTTGAAAGGGCAACACTTCGACATACATTTCCAGCCCTTGCCAAGCATCTATCTGCACCTTCAATATTAACATTAATGCCCCAAAGGGTAGAGGAGAACAGCATCCCAGAGGTTGTTCTCCAAGACAGAAAGTAAAACACATCCCTCCCAACTCTGTAAAACTTATCACCCCATGTGGAAATGTTGGGAACTGTGGGAGATCAGTTTCACTATCAGAAACACAAGAAGGACATGCATTGCCTCCTTCACTCCTTTGGGAGCTGTGGGGACTTCTAACACTCAAGAGCCGGCCCCTGGACTGGAGGATGACCAACAAGCACCTCCAGGGAGCAAGGCACATCATCCACCGAGTGTGCCCAGACTCAGAGCTCTGTGCTGCTCTGCTCATCAGAGAACTAAAGAGGACAGCATGATAATTAGAGAAGAATAAATACGAATTTCCCAGAACCTACCCTGGTGTTGGACATCAGTGATATCAAACGCTGGGGTCTCCTGCCATTCTTGCTGGGTTTTTCTTTCCCTGTTCTGATAAAAAGACCAAGAAGTCTTAAACTTTACTCCTTTATAGCTTGGTGGTCTGAACACTATTTGCTGGTAAGGTGATTTCACATCAGTGCTGGGGCCTGGCTTCTGACTACCCAGGCAGGTGGTTTTCCTTCTTAGGAGTGTCCTTTTCCCATAGCAGCTTCCCAAACACTGTCCCTCTAAAATCATAATATTTAAGAGCTGAGAACAAACCAAGCTGGGTTTAACTTACCATTCCACGTTTCTTAGTGCCAACTATTGCCAAGGACAGAATATTGAGGTTTCAGAAACCAAGAGGACCTTTGCTTTACTTTGGAGAATAGTATACTGTCTGTGGTAAAACTGACATATAAACTAGGCATTATAAGACAGTGTGATAAGACCGCCCCATCAGTCCATGCAGTTTGTGGTGGCTGCTGAGGGGAACATGAGTAGAGTGGGTAGTAGTTAGTCACGGAAGACTTCACAGGAGAAGTATTATTTAGATGGGGCCGTGGTGGATGGCATCAAGGGGTCAGAGAGAATAGGGCATTCCAGACAAGGACATGATGCACAAGGGCATGCTGCCATTAACAAGTACATATGATCAGCAAGGCTACAGCCAGGGCAGCAGAAACATGACTATCCAGCCGACACGCTACAATGCAACCTTATTATATTCCCTGTGCTACTGCTCTATAGAACTTCCTTTGTACTTTGAAGGGGGCATCCTACAACCTGGTTCCAAGCCTATAATATTCTAGTAGACACCAGATAGTCAGAAACATGGTTTATACATTTTCTTTGAGAATCTTTGCCAACTGTTCACTCCCCTCACCCAGGCAGAACCCGAGGGCCTGACTACCCAGCAATGCTGGCGAATTCCTTGAGCCATTTTACTGGGGAAAGATATATAGCAAGGGGCCGCGGACTGTCAGGTGGCTCTGGGAGGGCAGAGGCACAATAAGCTCCCAGGACAGAGCACAGGCTGATATTTCTGATAAGCTTTTCCATAAACCTCTCAAATTCCAGACCCCAAAGGCAGCCACCTAAGTCATATTCCTATAAAATATAAAGGAAACTCTGGGGAGGAAGGAGATCATCTCTTACTTCTTCTAGATAGGGTAGAGATGGAACTTAGAGGGCCCAGCTCTGATTTCTAGCTTGAGGGAATGATTCTTACAGATGTAGTGAAACTGTGGTTTGAGGTCTAAATCCTGCTGCACTGGCCCTAATGAAAGCATCTACTAAGCTTGGCAGTGGTGACCAGAAGGGCAAAGGCCCTAGGGCAGAGGAATAGCCTACCTCTGAACAGGGGAGATTTCCCTCATAAGATAGTTTAGCCTTTGTGCTTTGTGCTCTCCTGAAATCTTAACAGAGGTCTCCTCAGGCAAATGATATAAGAGAGGAAAACCATTATAGCCTGAAATAAGACTGAAGATACCATCTAGGACATCCAATAAGACATAATACCCTGAAAACCTGATGCAAGGTTGTGCCCTGTATGTTCAGGGCCAGATCTGCTTAGAAGTGCAGTTCAAGCAGAGGAGACAAAACAAAAACAAAAACAAAAACAAAAACAAAAACAAAAACAAAAACAAAACACAGTCCGTTCACTTCTGGATCACTCACCTGCTCTCTCCTATTTTTTATCCTTTTAAAGTCTGGATCTCTAGGTCTAGGAGCTGACATAACAAAGGTAGTAAGTCTGACCTTCCTTCCCATTCTCTTCAAAACACCTCTTGTGAAACAGAGACCTTATTCAGATATGTGTTGTAATCTTCTAAGCCTTCTCTGCACAGGCTCCCAATGCATTCAGATGTGCACAATCCACACTGACTGTGTTCTTACACACTACCTTCTCCCAAAGGGGAGAGAAGATATTAAGCATTGGACCATAGGAGCAAATCAATTCTTCCAGCTCAAGTGACTTACACTAAGAATCACTGTGATCACTTTAATTTAGGAGAAGTCCGCTCTCTGGGAACAGGGTCTACAATGGAGGCTGTCTCTGGGCTTTGAGTCAAAATCAATAAACATGTTCTTTTTTTTTTCTCAGAGTTTTTTTCCTAAATCCAGTATCAGGATGAAAAGGTAATTATGTTGAGTAAGAAACTGTGGGTACTGTTCTTGAGGGAGATGATGTGTCAAACTAAGAATAGGAAGGTACAAAGGGTAGAGAGTGAGGGAAATGTTCCTTTAATAGTAATTATCTTGGTTGTATAAAGTGTCTTTGTTCTCCAGAGCTTCATGTACTTTCTTGTACTTTCTCATTTTTCCTTCTTCCCTCTCTAAAGGATGACAAGTATAGAAGAAGGGAACCATATGTCTAAAATTACTCCATGGGCCAGTCAGCCATGGGCACAACAGGGCTCAATACCCTGCCCCTGCCCACAGAGGGAGAGGTATGAGTCCTTAAGGGTTCATTCTTTCCCCAACTAAATGATAAGCTCCTGGGAAAAAACTAGGTTTTATATGTTTGGGTGCATCTCAGCACTTAACACAATGCCTTGCAAGCCAGAGACAGAATTGTTTAGAAATGAAAATCACTTCACTTTTCTACTTTTTAAAACGTTGTAGGGAATTCCTGTGATCTTGAAGGTGGCTTTAAGGCCTTTTATGATCCAGGCCGTGCTGACCTCTCCAGTAACATTTCTCAGCACTGTACTCTATACACCAGGTGTATCGGCTTCCAGTCACCAAAACTATTGTATTCTTTCCTCTTAGCTTTAGTTCTTTGAGCTACTCTGGGAACTCAATCTCACATCCACTTGGTCTGAGTGAGGTTCTCATTTGTGGTCCCTTTGTACCCTGTGCTTCTTTTATTCTTACAACACAGCACATCTATCAGTAATTGTCTGTTCAGCTTTACACTTTTGGCATTTTTAAGGGAAAGCATGATAGCCTTAGTATTTGACATATAGCAGACACTCAACAAATGTTTGCTGAATGAATATGTAAATGTTTGCTCCATAACTGATCATGTCATGGATCTTGGGAAGATGGGGGAGGTGATCTGTGAGTGTTTGGATACTTAAGGTTAGACCCTCTTTGGTGAGATGGGATAGAAAAAAGAAAAGGCACATTCAACAGCTATTTGAAGAAAAAGGGCGCTATTTTAGAGACTATTATAGAAAAGAAGTCCCCAAATGGAGGAGAAGTAGATGTATGAATATCTAAATGGAGAACAGACCTCATAAAATGAATCAAATACTACTGGGGCCAGCCCATCACTGCTCTAAATGTCTTCTCTTACCAGTGTCCTGAGTTGATATATATCTAGCTTGTTTGTAAAACCTATTATGTTCCGAGACTCAGACTCCAGTGCAGATGAAAGAAAAAAGGTTTCTAAAAAAATTCTAAACTGGATCCCACCTCAATGCAAGAGACCTATTTTCTTACTTCAACTGCGGAGTATAAGAAAGCAGTTTTTAAGCTAACAAAAGGATTCATCGATGTGTGTATTATGCAGCTACTTTTAGGACAGATTGTGGCAAGGGTGGAATGGTGGAAAGTTGTGCTGCAGATGGTGAAACCTGAGAATGAGTCCAGTGAATTCGGTCTGTAATTAGGACCAAGATGTGCTGGTAACAGGAATCCTGACTTGTAACAGAGCAGGAATAGCCAAGAGTCTTGAAGTCTCCATTTTGGTGCTTACCCTCCTGGTTTCCATAGGGGGCTTCTTTTTGCTGAGCCGTTGGCTGGAAGTCCCCATCTTGGCCCTGAGGTGGGAGAAAAAAGCCCAGGAAATGTTACTGGCAGCAACAACATCACCACATTCAAGTAAATGTGGCCCAAATGAATATTTCAGCAGGTTGGCTATTTTTATGCCACTCCTGGCCTGCAGACTAAATTGTATAGCCAAATTCTCCCTGGGTGCTGCTTTAATTCACAGCAGAATCACAATTTGGGATGTAGGGGCTGAGAAAAGGAAAATGTGATTGACAGCAGGTATTAGATTTTGAAATACTTGGTTGTGCATCAAAACACAGAGAAAGGGAAGATGTGAGGCCTTGTTGCCATGGCAAATTTAGTCAAATGGAACTGAGCAAAGCTTCACACCTCCAAATACCCTCACATTTCACCTGGCTGGGAAGGGAACTGCCTAACTCTCCACTGACAAGTGCATTTTGAGGGTGTAGAGGTCAGCTCCTTTGAGGTCTATCCTCACTGCTCCTGTGTATCTTGGGGCCCACATAGTACCAGGAAAAAAACAGCTGCTGTTTCTAAACCTGAGCTGAAAGTACTTTGGGCTGGAGCACAAACCACACGTTGGATTATCCCAGTATCCCTATCTAGGTGCTAATATAAATGACTGAGTTGTTTTACAGACTCATTCTGTCCCTGACAGAAAATCAAAAGAAGAAAATTAGCAGCCTCCCCAGTAGTAACTTCAATATGTGAAGGGCTGTGCTCAGTACTCCCCTCCAATAACTGATGCATTCCCTCTTGTAGACATTGGAACCAAAATGGAGGCTTCAAGCCTCTTGGCTATTCCTGCTTTGCTACAAGTCAGGATTCCTATCACCAGCACTTCTTGGTCCTAGGTGCAGACTGAATTCACTGGACTCATTCTCAAGTTTCACCACCTGCAGAACAACTTTCCACCATTCTGTTTTTGCCGCAACCTGTCCTGGCCTGGACTACATTTTAAGGTAGATTTCCAAAAGCTTATTGCTCACTGGGTAAAATAGGATTATATTTTATTTGTTCTCACTCTTTTGAAGGTTTCTCTATGTTCTTGTATAATATCCTGGGACTTCGTATCTTGTGCCTTGTGACTGTGTTTCTTGATAGTGCAACCATAGTAAGCACTCACTGACTTGTAGTCAAGTGTTTAGATCTGGTTGCATTTCCCCCCAGCCTTCATCTTGATGAACAGAAGAATTCTACTTTGCTGAGGAAGGGACTGTGTTCAAATTACATTGCATACTGAAGGAAAAAATACGAAGCTGGAGGCATAACCCTCCCAGACTTCAGACAATACTACAAAGCTACAGTAATCAAAACAGCATGCTATTGGCACAAAAGCAGACATATGAATCAATGGAACAAAATACAGAGCCCAGAAATAAACCCATACACCTACAGTCAATTAATCTTTGACAAAGGAGACATTTTGAATATACAATAGAGAAAAGACAGTTTCTTTGGCAAGTGTTATTGGGAAAGCTGAACAGCTGCATGTAAATCAATGAAGTTAGAACACTCCCTCACACCATTTACAAAAATAAGCTCAAAATGGCTTAAAGACTTAAACATAAGACAGGATGCCATAAATCCTCTATAAGAGAACATAGGCAAAACATTCTTTGACATAAATCTTAGCAATGTTCTGTGCAGTCTACCAAGGCAAAAGAAGTAAAAGCAAAAATGAACAAATGGGACTTAATCAAACTTATAAGCTTTTGCACAGCAAAGGAAACCACAAACAAGTGAAAAGACAACCTGGGACTGGGAGAATATATTTGCTAGTGATGTGACTGACAAGGGCTTAACTTCCAGAATATATGAACAGCTCATACAACTCAATACAAAAAAATAAACAAGCCAATCAAAAAATAGGCAGAAGACCTAAACAGACATTTCTCCAAAGAAGACATACAGATGGCCAATAGGCACATGAAAAGATGCTCATTATGGCTAATTATCAGTGAAATACAAATCAAAACTACAATGAGGTATCACCTCACACTGATCTTCATGGCCATCATTAAAAAGTCCACAAATGATAAATGCTGGAAAAGGTGTAGAGAAAAGGGAACCCTCCTACACTGTTGGTAGGAATGCAATTTGGTGCAGCCACTATGGAAAACAGTATGGGGATTCCTTAAAAAACTAAAAATAGAGTTACCATATGATCCAGCAATCCCAGTCCTGAGCATATATCCAGAGAAAACTCTAAGTTGAAAAGATACATGTACCCCAATGTTCAGTGCAGCAGTAGTTACCAAGACATGGAAGAAACCTAAATGTCTATTGACAGATGATTGGATAAAGAAGTTGTGGTGTGTGTATATATATATATATATGTACACATATACTTCTTTATGACTGAGTAGTATTCCATTATATATTTTACATATATTAAATATATTTTTAATAAAAATATATAATATATAGTAGAATACTACTCAGTCAAAAAAGAACGAAATAATGCCATTTGCAGCAACATGGATGGACCTAGAGATTACTATACTAAGTGAAGTAAGTCAGACATAGAAAGAGAAATATCATGATACCACTTACATGTGGAATCTAAAAAAATGACACAAATGAACTTATTTACAAAACATAAATAGACTCACAGACACAGAAAACAAACTTATAGTTACCAAAGGGGAAGGGAGGGGGATAAATTAGGAGTTTGGGAATAGCAGATACAAACTGTTAGATATAAAATAGATAACAAGGTCCAACTGTATAGCACAGGGAACTATATTCAATAGCTTGTAATAACCTATTAATGAAAAAGAGTATATATATATGTATAACTGAATCACTATGCTGTACACCAGAAGCTAATACAACATTGTAAATCAACTAGACTTCAATAAAAACAAAAATTACATCGCAAATATCAACTTGCTTCCTTTCCTTAGTCCATCTACTAGAATATGCACTAGGCAGGTGTGAATGAAGCCCTGAGAGAGAGAGTGACTCACCCAAATACAAGATCAACCAGCAGCAGTAGCTGGCAAAGCCTAACTAGGATGCAGGGGTTAGCCCCTCTCCTGAGACCACTGACCTGTCCAGCCGTGGCCTGCTGGGGGAGCCGGGCACTTCTATGCGTTTTCGTTTCCTCATCATGGCTCCTGCTGCTTTCTTCTCTGCTAGGACCTTCAGAGAGGAACCAGACTCCTGTGACTCCTCCTTTTCCAGGGTTGCTCAAATGAAGGCACAGTGAAGAGAACTCCCCATCTTTAAACTGCCAAAGGCAACTTTTAACACCAGCTTTGCAAGTAAGGATAGATATTCTGTTAGAGACATAGTCTCAGAAATCTAGCCAGGGGAAAAAGAATGTCTCACGTATACAATTCTGATTGGACTTGGGCAGCAACCAAGAGGCAAAAAAGAAGAGACAAGAGCAGGACTTTTTAGACAACAAGAGGCAATAAAGGCAATTTTCATTTCATACAAAAAAGGGAAACTTACCAACCCAAGAGGACTGTTGTTTATTGGTTTTCCTACAACAGGAAATTTCAGTGTCATAATGGATCAAGACTGTTTCACCTGGATTTCTGGACACCATAGATTTCTCAGAACTGGTCCTAGACAAAACTTTGGTGTGTGCCCTTCTCTCATCCACCTGAGACCACTTTTCCTAGAAATACTGTCTTCAAACTTTCTTCCTCCCTTATTTAAAAACTATTGTTATCTAAAAATATTTTGATTCACACTATACTCTTATTATATGTCACATAAAGTGGATGATCCCTATTACAAAAGGAAAAAATGGAATATCTGGTTTCAGTGACAAATGAATTGGGGAGATATTCTGAGGTAAGGCTTTTATACCTTTTTTCAAATCAAATTGGCATGTGTTTCCTCATCCCTCTATTTCTAAAAATGGTAATGACCCTCAGAGATTAAAAATTGGGAGATATCTCTAAGACACCACTAAGGTGAGCCATTAAATATTCTAAAGTGGAAGGAATAATTTATATAGTATCTTTCACTGAGTGATCACTCTAGGTCAGACTTTGCACTTTCCATCTTCCAGTATTTATACATTTAATATTTTTAACAACTCAATAAGATAAGTACTATTATTACTATTCACCATTTAACAAAGGAGGCATAGAAAGATTGAGTAATTTATCTAAGGTCATACAGCTATTAAGTGGCAAAGCCACCAAGATTTGAACCACACAGTCTGGGTTGAAGCACATGCTCCTGACTTCTGCACTGTGCAGTGTTGAGGCCCAGTCTGACTGCCTGTTTTGCCATATTAAATTTGCACTGCTGATCCATGGATGTTCAACCTTCCCTTTTTTCTTCCCCACCACCCACACTTCTGTCATTCTACTTACTAGATGACAGATTTTCATGAAACCATTTCATCTCCACATACAGAGTGAAAACAAATGGGTAGGGAACCAAGACAATTTCCCCATGTTTGAATTTCAGGTGGGACACACTCTCCCATTTGCTTTTATCTGGGTAATGTGTTAAGGAGTGACGAAAGAAGCCAGCACAAATCCCTGAGTGCTATTTTAGAGAAAAGTCTCCCTCTCCTTTCCTTGACCTACCCTCCAAACTGCCTATGGGTTTGTTGCTTCCTTTTGAATCTACAATGTGAGTCATAGTTCATTTCCACCCAGGAAAGAAAGGATACAGGGAAATACAATGAAGTGTTCTGTAGCAAATGGTTGCAGATTGTCCAAGTTTCCCAAGACCACACGAATAGAATCCTGAAAAAAAAAAAGAAATGATTTTAATACTGTCTAATCTCAACCAATCTATCAATTTATCCTTGTTATATCCTATATTCTTTTAAAGCTGAGCCGTTCCCTGAATATGCCTTCTATTTCTCCATGTCTGTGCTCTTGCGTTGTGTCTTCCCTCTGCCTAAAATACCCTTTGAACTCATCAGCATATGATGAAATTCTACCTGTCCTTTTATGGTACAATTCAAAAGCCATCTCCTCCAGAAAGTTTTCCCTGATTTCCCAAGTGGCATTAACTATTGGTCTCAAATATTACAGTAGTTAGCCTTGGGTCTTTACTAAATTCCATGTATATATTTTTATTTTCCTTACTGAGAAATCTCCTTAAAGTAGAATATACTTGATTTACCTTAGCATCCCTTCTATGGTGTCTACCATAGTAGGTGGAGCATAACAGGTCCTCAGTAAATATATGCTGAATTAATGAATAACACTGGTATTTACTGATATATACTTATTTTGCTTTTACTTAAGTCAAACCTTTTCTTCCACTCGCTTAAAATATTAATTTATCTCTAATTAACCTATGCTTGTTAGTATACAATAATTAAACAATTTGGTATCATAAAAAGACTACTGAATTTTTGTGGGAAAAATATGTGAATTTCAGTCTCAGCTTTGTCATTTCATCTCTAAGACTCATTTTCCTCATATTTGGGCTCACAGAAAACAGAAACTATGCCATGTTTATCTTTATGTTATCTCTATTAGCATAGTATCTAGCTTATAATTTTAATAGCTAGCATTTATTGAGTAATCACTATGGCAAGTATTACTATTTTTATACATATTAATTTAATACTCATAAAAACCTTGTAAGATAGACAGTTCTATCATCCCCATTTTACCAATGAGGAAACTGAGACAAAGGGGTAAAATAACTTATTGAAGGTTACACAAGTAGCAATGGTGTAGCTAAGGTATGAACCTAGGCAGTGGGGTTCTGGAGCATATGCTCCTAACCTTTGGGATACATTGCCTATCAATAAATGCTTTCTAAATGAATGAAAGGGGATGATAATATTTGCCTAAAACTAATGAGAGTAAGAGAAAGAACATAAAAAGCTCTTTGAAACCTTTTAATATAGTTATAAATTTATGTAAGTGCTCTCTAGCTATCATTAATTGAGCTACTATATGGCAGGAATTGCACACATCTATTTCTAATCCTCACCACAATCTTGAAAACTGGATTATTTTTCAATCTCATTGACAGGTAAGGAAACAGACTCAGAGAAGGTAGGTAACTTTCCTGAAGTCACACTGTGAAGGCAGAACCAGAGTTCAAATCCAGGTTTCACTGCCTCTAAAGTCTATGCTCTCTCTTACTATGTTGCTTTGAGCTTTTCTGTCCAAATTAAGTGAAGCAAAGTGAAATAAATTTTACTCTACTCATAATTAAAATGAGCAGAAAATTGTCATGGTCCTATATGAACATAAATGTTATTTATAATGATGCCTTTGAGGTCCTGGAAGATCCTAATGTATTTTTCAACACATAGCTGAAGAGCCACAAGTACCTTTACAACTTTGACTCAGATTTTTGGTTTCATAGTTTTGTGTTTGTGTATTTAATTATATTAAAATGCTTTGAAATGTGGCAGCATATGCCTTCATAAATCACAACAGTCATAGATCACTCAGCTGTGAAGTTAGAAAAGAATCCACTAGTTACAACTGAGGCAATTAAGACCCAGAGAGCTATGTGATTTGCCCAGGTTCACATAGCTAACTAGTGGCTAAGGAGGACTGGAATCCAGGGTCGGCTCCCAGAACTCTAATTTCGTGTCCAATGCTTTCACCCATTTACAAATTTGTCCACTTGCTCAGTCTTCTTCCTGTGAGAGAACCTAAAGTTACAGGAGCTGGGTAGAAAAGGAATGAAAATGAAGTGGGAATAAAGCAACTGCAAATGTTTCCAATTAAAATGAAGACACAGCAGCCTTGTCTGTGTATTTACAGTTGAGTTTCCTGAACGTCAAGTACCAGGCAGTGGTTGGGATGGTGAGGTTTCCCAGAGCCCTGAAAGGCATCAGTCTTCCGGAAGCTTTGTCTGTGCCAGCTGCCACAAAAGAGAGCTGCCTGTGGCTGGGAATTCTAGTGGAAACAAAATAACTCTTAGCCTCAAAGGTGCTGACACTTCAACTAGGAGAACTGAGAAAGAATACAGGCTTTAATTTCCCTGGAAAAACAGTAACGTTTCTTTGCAGAGGAAATGTGGCAGGGAGAAGCCAAGTAATCAAGTAGAGGTTGTGACTCAGTTTGCAGGAAATAATTAAAATCTGAATAAGGATGCATCCTCAGCTTAAAGAATAATATTCCCAGAAGTTGTCTGCTTCTTTCCCTACCTCCAGCTCCTGGACGATGACATCCTTATTTTCTACATCTTCCCCTCTAGAAGTAAACAGACGAGAGATAAGTAAGCCAAGAAGGAAAGCTCTGTAGACAACAGACTCTAGTAGAGCAAAAATGACACTTCCCCTGAGCTAAGGGAACATAACTAAGTAACAATTGTGTGTGCTGACCCAGTGCTCAAGGGAAGAAGAGATCACCTAGGTGGTGTGGTCTGAGAACGGATACAAAGCTGTTGGAAAATATCTTCTCCATTAACGAGTGTGCCAAGACCTGAAATTCCCACTGTGAAAGTTAATTATTTGTTAGAAATGTTGTACAAGTGTAGTCTGTGAACCCCTAGGAGTCCTCAAGACACTTTCAAGGAGTCTCCAAATGCAAAATTAGTTTCATAATAATACTAAGATGTTATTTGCCTTTTTCACTATATTAACATTTGTAATCAGTAGTGTAAAATCAATGGTGAGCAAAATTGCTGATGCCTTAGCATAAATCTAGCCAGATGCACTAAACTGTACTAGCAGTTATAGTTATCTTTTCTGTTACACAGGAAAAAAATGGTTTCATTTAATATTGTAGAGGAAGTAGTAAAAAAATTAAAAATCCTATAAATCTCAACCTTGAAAACAGGTCTTTTACATATACTATGTAATAAAACAGGATGTATGCACAGAGCACTTCAGCTGCATACCAAAACATGATGGTTGTCTTGAGGAAAAGCATTTGTGCGACTATTCAAGTTGCAAATTGAACTACCTGCTTTTTTCATGGAATGACATTTTACTTGAATGATCAGAAGACAAACAAACTATAGTTGTTATTCAGACTTGGGAATGTGACAGACATTTTCTCAAAAATGAACAATCAGCTTATCAATGCAAGGAAAACAACTGACAGTATTTGTTGTCAAGGATAAATTTTGGGATTTCAAGCAAAATTTTGAATTTTAGAAAAATTCTATCCATGACTGTGAGGTTGACAGCTTCCAAATACTTAAAAATATTTTTCTGATAAGAATGGTAGTGATATTAGCAAATATGATTTTTTGTTATTGTATGATGAAATGTGTTGACATCTGAATGATCTGCATGAGTCAGTGAACCAATATTTACCAAATGGCCAGTGAAACATCACATTACAGAACAACTCTAGGTAAAAGATTCATTCAAAGAACAAGGTAGACCAATGATTTTAATGTAGCAGAGTTCAGAAAGTTCAGTGATTAAACTTCAGATTCCACATTGTAACTAACCTTTAAAAACCTGCCACGTTTAAAAAAACAAAACTACCACTTGTCAAGTTTTGATGTAGGGTCAAAGAATAATATCCACAATGATCTGAGAAGGCTATTAATATATTCCTAACTTTCCCAACTACAAATCTGTGTAAGGCCAGATTTTTTTCATACAATTCAACCAAAAGAAAAAAATTCATAACAGATTAAAGGTAGAAGCAAATATGATAATCTAGCAGTTTTCTATTAAGGCAGACATTAATGAGATTTTCAGAAATTTAAAACAATGCTAATCTTCTCATTAATTTTTTGTTTTGGAAAATATAGTTATTTTTGTTTGTTTGTTTTTCTGGGGGAGAGAGGTAATTAGGTTTATTTACTTTTTAATGGAGGTACTAGGGATTGAACCCAGGACACTGTGCATGCTAGGCATGCACTCTACCACTGAACTACACCCTCCCCTGGAAAATATAATCATTTTTAATAAAAATGTGTTAACACCTAATAGATATATTACTATTTTAAAGTTAATTAATACATTTTAAATTGTGGAAAAATATATATAACCTAAAATTTTCCATTTTAACCATTTTTAAGTATACAATTCAGTGGTATTAATTACATTCACAACCATGGTGTACAACCACCACTACCTATTTCGAAAGCTTATTGTGAGGAACGGTATAGCTCAGTGGTAGAGTGCATGCCTAGCATGCACAAGGTCCTGGGTTCAATCTCTAGTATCTCCACCAATTATTCTCCCCCCCCCCCCGCCAAAAAATTACAAAGCTCATCTCCACAAATAGAAACACTGTACTTACTAAGCAATAACTCCTCATTCTCCCCTCCACCTAGCCCTTAGTGACCTCTAGTTTACTTCCTGTCTCTATCACTTTTCCTATTTTAATACTTCATATAAGCGGAATCATACAATATTTGTATTTTTGCAACTAGCATACACCTAGGAATGAAATTGCTGGGTCATATGTTAATTCTATGTTTACCTTTTTGAGGAACTGCCAAACTATTTTCCATAAAGGCTGCCCCATTTTACATTCCCACTAGCAATGTATGAGGGTTCCAATATTTCCATACCCTTGCCAACAACTGGTATTTTTTGTTTTCTAAATTATAGCCATCCTAGTAGGTGTAAAGTGGCATATCATTGTGGTTTTGATTCGTATTTTCCTAGTGACTAATGAGACTTGTGCTTACTGGCCATTTGTATATCTTTAGAGAAATGTCTGTTTAAGTCCTTTGTCCATTTTTAATTGGATTGCTTATCTTTTTGTTGGTAAGTTGTAGTTCTTTATATATTCTAGATATTAAGCTCTTATCAGATATATGATTTGCAAATATTTTCTCCCATCTGTGATTTGCCTTTTCATTCTGTTGGTAGTGTTCTTAAATGCCCAATCAAAAAAATTAAATAAGTCCAATTTATCTAATATCTTTTGTTGCCTGTGTGTTTGGTATTTTAAGACACCACTGATAAATCCAAAATCAAGATTTGCCCCTATGTTTTTTCTAAGTTTTTTTTATGACTTACTCTCTTAAATTTAGGTCTTTGATTCCTTTTTGGTTAACTATTGTATATTGTGTAAGGTAAGGGTCTAACTTTATTCTTCTGAATGTGGATATTCAGTTTTCTCAAAACCATTTGTTAGAGACTGTTCTCTCCTCATTGAATGGTCTTAGCATTCTAGTCAGAAATCAATTGACTATAGATATTTACTTCTGGGCTCTCAATTCTATACTATTGGTCTATAGTCTGTCCTTATACCAGTACCATAATTTGTGCGTGTGTGTGTGCATTTGTCTTAACCTTTTTATTAACTGAGGCATAACTGACATATAACATTAATTTCAGGTGTATAACATAACAATTCAATATTTGAATACACTGCAAAATGATTGATCACAATAACTCTATTTAACATCCGTCACTGCACAGTTACAAAAAATTTTTTTTTGTGATAATAAGTTTTAAGATCTATTCTCTTAGCAACTTTCAAATATGCAATATGGTATTATTAACTACAGTCACCATGCTGTACATTACACCCCCAGGACTTACTGATTTTATAACTAGATGCTTGTACCTTTTGACCACTTTTTCACCCATTTTGCTCACCCCTACACCCCACCTCTGGCAACCACCAATCTGTTCCTTGTATCTATAATTTCAGTTTTTTGTTTTGGGAGTTTTTTCTTTAGATTCCACCTATAAGTGAGATCATGCAGTATTTGTCTTTTTTCTGTCCTGCTTCACTTAGCATAATGACCTCCATGTTGTCACAAATGGCAAGATCAAAAGTCTTGCTTTATTTGAGGAAATGGCCAGTACCATATTTTTTGCTTACTTGAGGCTTTGTTGTAAGTTTTTAAATTGGGAAGTATGAGTATTCCAACTTTGTTCTTTTTCAAGGTTATTTTGGCAATTTGGGGTTCCTTGAAACTCCATATAAATTTTAGGATTGGTTTGTACATTTTTGCAAAAAAAAAGCCATTTAGGATTTTTGACATGGATTGCTTTGAATCTGCTGATTGCTTTGAGTACTGTTTTCATCTCAATAATACTAAGTCTTCCAATCTATGAACACAAGATGTCTACTTAGGTCTCCTTTTATTTCTTTCAGCAGTACTTTGTAGTTTTCAGTGTGCAAATCTTGCATCTCACTGGTTAAATTTATTGCTAAGTATTTTTTCTTTTTGATGCTATTACAAATGAAATTGTTTTCCTAATTTTCAGATTGTTTGTTGCTACTGTATACAAATCAATGTTGTATACACTAAAACTGAGTTAGTATCCTGAAACTTTGCTGAATTCACTGATCATCTCTAATAGTTTTTGTTAGTTTGTGTGGATTCTTTAGGGTTTTCTGTATATAAAATCATGTGATCTGCAAAGAGAGATAGTTTCACTTCTTCTTTTCTAATTTGTATGCATTTTATTTCTTTTTCATGACTAATTGCTCTGGCTAGAACTCTGGTACTATGTTGAATAGAAATGATAAAAGTGAGCACCCTTGTCTTGCTCCTGATCTTAATGAAAAAGCTTTAAGTTTTTCACAACTGAGTATGATGTTAGCTGTGGGTTTTTTATATGTGGCCTTTATGTTGAGGGAAGTTCCCTTCTACTCCTAGTTTATTGAGTGTTTTTATCATAAAAGAGTGTTGGATTTGATCAAGTGCCTTTTTTGCATCAATTGAGATGATCATGTGTTTTCTTCCCCTTCTTTCTATTGATGTAATGTATTATATTAATTGATTTTTATATGTTGAACTATCCTTGCATTCCTGGGGTAAGTCCCAGGGGGTTAAACAATACCAATCTTCTCATTAATTCTTAAAAAAAAGTTATTTTTAATAAAATGTTATTCATTAACATTTAATGATACATTATTTTAAAATTAATAAGTTTATTATTTTATCTATCTGATAAATACTGACAAGTATAACCCACTTAATCAAAAACTCTTTGGAATTCTCAATTCTAAGAGTGCACAGGGGTCCTGAGATTAAAAAAATTTGAGAACCACTGCCCCAAAGGTATGCCATTGCTAATTTAAAAACTTACACGAATAATACATATACAGAATATAAAATACTTGGGAAAGAGTCCTACAAGGTGCTGCTTCAGTCAGTCTCCCAGATTAGGTGAAGGCAGAGAAGGAATGACCTGTAGGAATGTACTAACCTGTGTTTGCAAAGGCTACTCTCCTAACTTTAAAATTACCTGATGTTGTTGCCATATCTGATTTTGAATTTATATACATTGGATCCCGCATGAAGAAACCTTGTCTCTGGAAACGGGTAGGTGAAAGGTTTTAAACTCATTGCTTCCAAACGATAGCCTAAATAAAGTAGAGACATTAGAGAATTATTTAACAGCTAAAGATGGTTCCTTATGTACAGGAAAGAGAGCCTGCCCAATCTGTAGTACTTCTTCATGAGTAAAATGTCTAGTTCTCAGTACCATTGCCCATGTCCCAGGCTCAGTTCTGACGTTAATTACCTGGACCATTTTCTTACCTGCATGGACAGGATATATGGTGTTTGGGGACAATCTCTATACTTGAAGTCAAAAGATCTGAGTTGAAGTTTTGTTTATCTTATAACCTTGTGCAATTTACTTCTCTTCCATGAAATTAATGATACTAACATCTGATGACTCACAGGATTTTTGTTAGGGCTCAATCTACCTCCAAAATATCTCTTGAATCTATTTTTCTCCCTTGTCCCCATTTTCCCTGGAACCTATGCCAATGTAAAGAGGACTGAAGTCAAATAATGAAACAATTCAAAGGATGCACCAATAAGAAGCACAATCAGAAAGACCTCTGCTATTAATTTTAGATGAAGTTTAGCACACGTCCCTGCCACAACCAATGCAGTAAATCAGGATGTATACTAACGTTTTCCAGTGTTGCCAAGGAATACCTTATCTTCCCTACCTCTCAACTATTCTTCCTCTTCACCACTTATGAGAGTGCCCTATGCCACAAGAGTGCCTACCATCCTCCTAGCAGTAATTAGTTTTAATTTTCTTATTCCAGAATCTCTGCTCATTTAAGGCCCTCTCTGTGGGAAACTCAGGAGAAGGGAGAAATGGAAAGAGAAGTATGGCATGTCTATTTTACTCCAAGAGGGCATTTGGTATGCACTCAGAAGTAAGACTCAAGCACACTGTGATTTTCTAAGTCACCAGACTTTTCTGTGCCTCTTTTTATTTGTAAAGTAGAGATAATAAATCCTGCACTTTCTGTCTCTTCATATGGAAGTTTAAATACTAAATAATGAGAGTAAGAGTCCAGAGTTCCTAGGATCAAATCAACCTATATACAGTGAGAGGTATTGATTTAGAGGCAGCTGGTATGGGATAGATAGAACAAGCACAAAGTAAGAATAAATTAGGTTTTAATTTCAGCTCAATTGTCCATATATAATTTCTCTGGGTTTTGGTTTTCTTATTTATAAAATAACAACAACAACTTTTTGTCATACCCTCTTCTAAGTACTTTATATATAATTTCACTTAATCTTCACAACAAGCCTATGAAATAAGTAGTCTAAATTTGATAGATGAAGAAATTGAGGCACTGAGAGATGAAGAAAGCTTCCAATGGCTATGAATGTTGGAACTAGGATTCAAACTGAGGCAGTATAAATTCAGACTTGATGCTCTTAATCACTTTTCCACTCTGCTTTCTGGGATTATTAGGAAGAAAAAAATGAGATAACGAACATAAAATTATTTTATAAGTACTAAAATATTATACATACATAAAGGACTATTTTCATTATTCTTTCTTCTGCATTACCCTGATACCATGTCTACTCAGCAGGGAAAACTCTAGAATGGTAAAGTCAGAAGATCTATGTGCCCAAAGAATGGAATTTCCCACAATTTCTTAAGTTCAAGTCTGGGGCTGCCAGTAAAGAGATATCCCAGTGTCTGATCCTGACTGCCTGGGATTAGAGTGACAGGAGGCTGGAGCCAGAGCCCGAGACTATTTAGACTGGAATTACAGTCAAAAGTGAAAAGAAATAGTTGGTGCCAACTGCAGAGTTACCAGAGGGGAAATACTGTTCATATCCTGAGAAAAAAATTGCAAATTCCCCATGTCCAAGGCATGGCAGGAACCCAGGCTAGATTTGATGGTGTTTTTGGTGGCTGTGCTAAATAGGCAGGGAGCCCACCTGGTGAGACTTAGGTCGCTGCCACAAATAATTAGCCCTTAATAATTCAGAAGGTTCTTCTAAAATGCAGTCACTTCTTTCCACAGACTAAGGACTGAGGGCATCAGAGCAAAGGAAATGAAGAACATTTGCTGGAAATGACAATCCAGAGAGGAAACTTCATGTGCTGTGCCACAGCTGGCTGTCTGAAAGAAGTAAAAACAACTCTCTTCTAGCTGGGGCCTGTTCCTGTTAATTGCTGGCTGCCCGCTTCAGAAACAAACACCACACACTAATTGCCTTATTTGAAAATAAAGATTAGACTGTATAATCCCAAACAACTACATAGTAGTAGTGGTTCAAAGATTTCATAAGGTTGTTTTCCAACATGAGTACTGCAGTCATGGTGACACTATGTCTCAAGAACTATTATTAAATTGATGGGATCTTGCAGATGAAGGGTCAGACTCTCAACCAATTTTAGGTGATCACAAAACATGATGCCTTTAAAACAAGAGAAGTTATAGGCAACATGGGATAGTGGGAAAGACATAGGATTTGGAAATGGAGGACCAAGGCTTGAGCCCTAGCCCTGCCTCTTAGCAGTCATTAGACCCTGACCAAGTCACTTAGCCTCTTCATTTCTCAGATTTCTACATCTACAAATGGGGATTCCATCTACCCCTGGGATTACTGTGGGGATTAAATGAGATAATACTCTAAATGGCACTTCATAAACTCTGGACTATTCTATAAACATTAGCTGTTTTGATAGATTTGAAGAGTTTCTCTCTTAATGCTTTACTAGCAAATTCAAGATAATCAGCAAAACTGATTAGCTTTAATGTCAGTGCAAGATCTCACAAATCCTAATTAAGAATCTTTCCTTGAAAATCCCCAATAATAGATTTAAATGACACACTGGCACTGCTGTAAGAAAGATTTTTCAAGGTTTTAGTAATTAGTTTCACGTAAAGAAACATCTGAGTCAGTGCATAGAACCTGAAGCAGGGCTGAATCCGGTATGAGGATAATGATACTGACTACTGAAGTTGAAGATGATCATAGGAAGTACGTCACTAAATATATCTGGTAATATTTGATGTAAAACCCTCCACAGCACTAAAGAATAAAAGAGCTTTCATAAGCATTTATTCAAATTATGTTTACTGAGCAGACCTAACACAATAGGCTCTGTGACCACTAAAGAGTGTGGGCAACAAAATAGGGAAAATCCCACTGATGCTATGAATTTAGCCCCTAAGTTTTAGAACTGAGATTGAGGACAGATGTCCAATTTCTCCTTCTACCTTCAAAAGTCTTCGGCTAGTTTCAGTCTTTGGCTAGCCTGCCTTTGCTGAAGCATATCCAGACTCTCTGAAAGTCTATATTTATAACTTGAGATTTATGGTTGCCTATAGCTAGAAGTGCCCTTCATTTTAGATGGGGTAAAAGGGAAGTGAATTCATCAAAGAAGGAAATAACTTCCACAAGGTCACATAACTCAGTATGGAACCAGGATTAGCCCCCCAAGATTGTTGATTCCTTTGGCCCACACATTTTCTATCACAACACATCACCCAGTCAGTCATTTTACTAAACTATAACCCTGGTCACTCTCATAACTCTGGATGACTTAAGGCAAGCTCAATCTGGGTACAAAGGAATCAAACAAAAATGGAAATTTTTTTGATTAAAGCTTCTTAGGATTACATCTAGGGGTATGAAGGGCTACATTTACATTTGTTTGTCTTCAAGCTCTACTTTCAAAAGGAATTATTTCTCAGTTTCCTGATCTTGCAGGGTGATTAGGATGATTAATGAATTAATGCATATATAAGTGCTTATTGTAGTGCTCTCACATAGGTTACCCAAAAATAGCCTTTTTAAAAGCAAGTATTAAGATATAGGACAGGAGGAAGCTGATCTAAGACTACCAAAGATACTGCCACGCTTACTGATGTCATTCTCTTTCTCATTAGGTTTCTACTTATCTTTCTGGTAAGGCACAATCTTTAAAACACCACTGGCTTTTGTTCAGGAATATATTTGCCACTGGAACAGTCAGATTTTGTTTTGCTTTGTTTGTGAGGGGAGAGTAACTAAATCTTCTAACAGAGAGGTAAGAAGATGCCTCGAAATTATATCAAAAGGCCTTAGTGAACAACTCAATAGGCCAGATAGGAGTCTAAGTCGATCTTTTAAGTTACTCTTTGCACCTAAGTGGCTCTTCCATTTCCATCTTAACCATCCTAAAATCTAATGGAAAAATTACCTTCGGTCAATAGGTCCAGGACTGTGCTCCTTATTCTGGAAATGCAATAGAATGGTATATTTCATCTCACCACCCTGCCCATTAGTTGCATCTTGTTACATGAAGATCAAACTATTAGCATTCACATCACACTGAATTCACTGAAGCACTCTAAAAACCCTACTAATCCCAAGAACCCTAAAAGCATTTGGATATAAAATTGCTGGCAATGATGGACATTTTATTGGCTACACCATTGGATGAATTACTCTGAAGCAGTACATGTAAGGAAGAAGATTTAAAAAAAAAAGCATCAGTAGTTTCAGAAGGGCAAATAGTGAAGAGAATATCCTTAGCTAGAGAAAAAGGAACATCTTTTACAATTTTGAGCTATAAACTCTGAGTCCTTGATGTACAAATCTCAAGGGTCTTAGTGACAGACGACAGATACAGAAAAATGTGAAAAGAAAGCTTCTAAAATATACAGCTTTGTTCTTGGCATGAAATAATGGCAGATTCTGAAGAAATTAAGTTACTAAGAAAACTAAATTACTTTTATATAAAGAGCAAATTTCATATAGGAAATTTTATATTTTACTGACTTTAATCTAATTTTGGTGAGTTATTGAGGAGATAAGAATTGTATTTACTAGGTTTACAAAAAGATGAACCTAACCTGAGGAGATCATCTAATCTGACCAAGATTAGACATCAAGGGCAAAATTAAAACTCAGATGTATTGCTAAAGCAAGATAGTCCAGCTGAAAGAAGAGTGTCAAGTATACAGTTATCTTATGAATTAACCTAGACTCAGTATTAGCCTCAACTTTTCATATTTTACCACATAAGTATAGCTCTAAAATAACAGAATCAGGCATTATTACTAAGAAACATAAAGCTTTGTACTTTGAAAGACCATATGCATCTGATCCGATAAAAAAAAATCTTATAAAGTGCTTTTAGTTTATACAATGCTTTCCTAGCCCCA